TAGAATCTGTGATTGCAAAGTACAGTAAATATCCACTTCGGTGCGGTGACTGACTGCCACACATACTCTTCAAAACATTAGATTCATCCGTGCTGGAGCCGTGCCGACTCGCAACCCACGCAAGGAAGATAATTCCGCACACAGCTGCAATTGCAGGTTTTCAAACAGAGATGGCGACAAAGAGGCAAAATTTACGGACTGCTGCTTTAAATTGTAATAATATTTAACAATAATATTACTGTTTTTACTGTATTTTTTATTAAATATATGCATCCTAAGTGATCATAAGAGACTTACAGTACTGTATTTCCAAAACATTAAAAAAAATCCCCAACTTTTGAAATGTAGTGTATATGACACTCAAACTAGTAGCTGTGATCATTAACATCAAAATCTGAGATTTCCTTAACTGTGGGACTTGAGACTTGAATGCAAATCTCCATCTGTCCTTTAGGGTCGGCCTTGACTTTCAGCTCATTCCGTCGGTTTGGTAGCCCGACAAGTGTTATATGACAGGAGCCCCGAGATTACGCCCCAAGGACACATTCATGCCGCCCCTGGAACCTAATGTACAAATGCGTTTCTATGGAGACGGGTTCAGCGTAAATCTCATTCGCCATGCGTCATTGCCCAAGAGGCGCCACCGTTCCCGAGAATTGCGTTTGTGTGCATGCTTGTGATTGACACGGAGGATGACTGACTTGTGTGAGTTTGTGAACGCATGCTGGGTTATCTGCCGACAGAATTTGGCCTTCACAAGTGAATATCAATGTACGTTTATCTCAGATGAGAGCTCTATGAATATTGCAGCATTTGTTTGTGGCGTCCCCCTTAGCGTTGTGGTCATGTTTCATCTTTATTCTCTTTGTAAGGCACTGGCTTCCTTCACAGGGTGAGCCGGAAGAGAAAATCTGTGTCTGTAAATTCATCTTTAATCTCTGTCTGGGTTCTGAAGCCTCTCGGAGTGTTGCATGGATGTTAAGATCTTAACTGGGTGCTTTTGAAGGTTCTCATTTGCCTTTCCCGTTGCCCGTGTGAGATTTATCCAGGGCCACGAACATGGAGGCTGCCATTATCCCTAACTAACCTCCTTGAGTCAAAGAGCGAGTGAAGGAGAGAGCTGTGTGAGGGGGAGAAAAAAAGCGGATTATTAATGTCTTGGCTTATCATGTGCCAACAGCTGTTCCAGAAACTGAAGAACCTGATGAGGCCTTATTCTGTCACGTTTGAGTCACCGCTGGAGCTCTCCGCTCAGGGTGAGACTGTCTGCGATAAAACTGCTGAAATGTGCTTATGCTCACACTCCTACATGCAAATAAACCCACATAAACAGACTCTTCCTTGCATGATGTGAAATGTAGTAGCTGTTAATGGAGGAATACTGATAGACATTCATTGCATGTTATTTAAAGGGATTCTTCACCCGAAAATGTGAATTCTGACCTTCATGTCATTCCAGACTTGTACAGTGTTATTTTTTCTGTTATTTTTTTTTCATACAAATAACATAGATCAGGGTCAGTACGAATACATTTTAACTAATTTACTAATTTGTTTATTTATTGCAAAGAATGCATTACATTTGATGGAAAAGTGAGAGTAAAGATCATGTTTAAAATATATGCTATTCTTTTGAACTTTCTATGTATCAAAGAATCCTATAAAAACGTATCACAGTTGCTGAATGGCTGCTGAAAATTAAAAAAAAATATATAAAAAAATATATTCAAATAGAAAACAATTTATTTAAATTGTAATTAATTATATGTTACTGTATTACTGTTTTTACTGTATTTTTAATCAAGTAAATGCACCCTTGACTTCTTTCAAAAACATTACAAATTCTCACAAACCTAAAACTTTTAAAGGTGTGTGTACTGACACTCTGTGCATATTATTTAAGGAATTAAATTTTGTCATTTAATCATGTTGTACCAAACCCATATGAGATGTTTGGAATGACATGAAGGCGAGTATGATGACAGATTTTTACTTTTTGGTTGAACGATGTCTTTAATGCTCATCTTTAATGGCATGCCCTTTATAGGAAACCAAGTTTACAGGTCTTTTTCTTCATTTTTTTCACCTGTCCTGGGCCAACTGAACAACTCACCCCACCCATCTCTTTCTCTGACTCTTAATTATCTCTCTTCATTCTGTCTTTATCTATATTGTCCCCCACTGCATGCTGTTTTCCAATTACCGCCTGAGCAAATCTATATGGAAGTGTCTGTTCATCATAGAGAGACGTGCTCACATTGAATTCACCAAATGTATTCCAGAATCATATCTCCCTCTCTGTTCCCCTCTCTTTTAGGCAAAGAGATGATTGAGATGTACTTTGATTTCCGTCTGTTTCGACTTTGGAAAACCCGGCAGCACTCAAAACTCCTCGACTATGAAGATCTCGTGTGACCCCACGCGGGTCAGCGCGTAGCATTGCGGGCAGGACGTCCCACTGTAAAACTCCATTCCACCAGCTTTCATTTTGGAATACAGGAGGAAGAGGAGTGGAGATGGACACAGCTGCGCCTCGAGTATTGTTTATTTCAGCTCGCCTCTGTGGACTTCGACCACCTCAGAACGGTAACACTCAAAACAAAAACGAATGGCAAATGGTTCAAAACACAAGAGAAATCCGGATATGTGGTGTTTTTGTTCTCTAATGGAGAAAAGAGAAGCCGTTTCTCAGAACTGGTTGACAGTCTGTCGACTGTTTTTGTTTTTAACTAACCAACAGTTATCGATCACTAGCCCAGACCGTTGTGCTTACAAAAGTGTCCCGCCGAAACTTACCTACCAGAACACAAAAATGGTCATATATGAAATAACAACTAATATATCGGTATACATACAGGATATACATCTCATGAGTAGCTATAGTCATGCACATAATCTAAATGTCAATGGTACACAATTTACTTTTTCAATGTTTATTGTTGTGGTCTTTCTAATGAACTATTTTGAATAACTCAGGTTTTAGGATCTACAGATATATTAATTACTAACCTATCCAAATGTGTGGAAGTCGTTTCGGTGGAAAGAATGTACATTCTGCCAACATACAATACTTATATGTGATCATTCCAGAGGTTTAGGAATCTTTTGTCAAGTTTTGCTTTTGGCACAACTCATGTCTCCACATTATATGCCAGTATCTGTCCCTCCAACATAAAACATACACTGTAGGCCCACATTGCAAAACACAATCATACACAGTCCCCAAACTGGGAAATCGTGACTTCCAGTCATAATAATAGAAACACTGACCTCAATATAGCCAGACATCTACACCAGGTGCGCCTGAAGCGTAGGCAGGAACATAGCATTACAGGGAGACGTTACAGAATTGCTCAAATAAGCGCTTGTGTCAATGTGTTCATAACAATTAGGCACACTTTCACACTTGGTTTGATTGCTTGGTCTGAACCTGTCTGTGTTTAAACATAGAATTCGGCTTCAAATGGCAGTATATTTGCGCCTTCATCATGTGTACTTCAGTGAGTACATGTGGCTGCTATCAAGTGTTATCCAGTTTACTTTTTTACTCATGTTTTGTCTGTTTGGTTTTAATACCAAATTTTAATGTGGCAATTCCGTCTGTATTAAATATACACTACCATTCAAAAGTGTGGGGTCAGTAAATTTTTTCAGTAAAAAATAACACTTTTATTCAGCAAGGATGCATTAACTTGATCAAAAATGACAGGCATTTTTAATGTTGCAAAAGATATCTATTACAAACAAATGCTTTTCTTTATCTTTCTGTTTGTCAAAGAATTGTTGGGAAAAGGTATCACTGTTTCCACACAAAAAAGCAGTACAACCGTTTTCAGCATTGATAACAAGAATTGTTTCGTGAGCAGCAAATCAGCATAATAGAATGATTTCTGAAGGATCATGTAACACTGAAGACTGGAGTAATGATGCTGAAAAATCAGCTTTGCCGTCACATGAACAAATTACATTTTAATATATATTCAGATAGAAAACACTTATTTTAAATTGCAATACTATTTCACAATATTACTGTTTTTACTGTATTTTTGATCCAATAAAAAAGTCTTGGAGACCATAAATCTAACCTTCCCCAAACCTTTGAATGCTAGTGTATGTATACTAAATAATATGTCATCAATAGCTTCTGGCATCCACAAATAAGGCTGGATTACTTTCATAACAATTGTGAATCATGCTTGACTCCACATGAACCCGTTTTCTTGACGTGTGTTTGTTTTCATGATATCAGAAGCCGATTTCTCCCCAACCAAATGGATTTGGGTTCACACCATCAGCTTTAGTGTGAAAACAGCCTTTTTTCATACCTCTCTCTATTTAGTCTAAAGTCGTTGGTGTTGTGGGGTCATGAACAGGCATTATTCTGAAGGTCACTGTTGCCTTATGGGGCAGGATGTTATTTGATGGCCGTACATGGATAATAGAACCATTTAGACCGTTTTATGGCAGCTTGCAGGTGTAAACTCTATGCATTCTTCTTCTTCCATTAGTAGCTTTCAAAGGTTTGGAGCAACTCGGGAGTTGTTTTTCATGTGTATCTTTATGAATGTTCTAATGTACTCCGCTAATAAGCCATACCCTCTTATAGCAAGCTGCTCAGATTGATGGCTCTTTGATGTGGATGGCTTCAGGCACTCATGAAGAACTTCCAGCTGGATGAATGATAGAATGTTCTCTTCTCTTGTCTTGTTTTTCTTTTCTTTTTTTTATGTATCCACAATGCTAATTGGCTAGTCCTTTGGTGTTGTTCAGGCAATCTTTAACTTAACTGATAAACAGAATGAGGTCTTGCCCCATGGAAAGAAGGTATTAAACACCTTTAAATCATCTTACGGCTTCACTTATTTCAATTTAATATGGATACACAACAAAAAATAAGATTTATTTCCCAGAAAAGTAAACACTGTGTTTCAACCAATGGCGTGAGTTGGGGGTGGGACTAATCTGTTCATTCAAAAGGGTTGTTGATAGGGGTGTAACAATACACTCGTCTCATGATTTGATTCGATGCATGATACACAATATTTCCTCACAAAACGATACTCTCATGATGCAAACAAAGCCAAAATATAGTTAAAGAGAGAGTTCACCCAAAAGGCAAATTCTATCATACGTGACCCTGGACCACAAAACCAGTCTTAAGTCGCTGGGGTATATTTGTAGCAGTAGCCCAACAATACATTGTATGGGTCAAAATGATCGATTTTTCATTTTATGCCAAAAATCATTAGGATATTAAGTAAAGATCATGTTCCATGAAGATATTTTGTAAATTTCCTACCGTAAATATATCAAAAATGTGTTATCATTAGTAATATGCATTGCCAAGGACTTCATTTGGACAACTTCAAAGGCGATTTTCTCAATATTTAGATTTTTTTGCACCCTCAGATTACAGATTTTTTAAATAGTTGTATCTCGGCCAAATATTATCAGCTTTCAGATGATGTAAAAATCTCAATTTCCAAAAATTGACCCTTATGACTGGTTTTGTGGTCCAGGGTCACATATTTACACACCCTCCACTTATTCTAAACCTCTATCAAATTTCTTCCAGCTGTTGGACACAAAATATATTTTGAAGAAGGTGAGTAACAAAACAGTTGATGGTAGCCATTGACTTTCATAGTATGGGGAAAAAAATACTATAGAAATCAATGGCTACCGTCAACTGTTTGGTTACCAACATTCTTCAAAATATCTTTGTGTGTCTGCGTGTGTGTGTCTGTGTTCAGCTGAAGAAAAAAACTCATACATGTTTGGAACCAAGTGAAGGGTGCATAAACAATGACAAAATGTTCATTTTCGGGTGAATTATCCCTTTAAAATGATATGTTATTGTTGTTTTGTTTTTTTTTATTACTTCTAAGACATATGATAAACAGTTACAGTTTACAAAAAGTACTGCTCATTAAAATGCTAAATTTGGTGTTACATCATTGTGGACTTAGTTTCCAATAGCTTTGGACTAAATACATGTAAAAGTTTAAAATATTGTATTTATTGTATTAATAATGTATTTTATTTGTTATTTATTAAGGATATTTAATAAACATGGAAGCTCAAATGTATGACCTTCTGGGTTTACTATATTTGTTATGCTCCATTACCATATTTGATGCAAAATTTTAACTTGAAACTTTCATTTTGGGTGAGCTATACACAATACAAATTATTGCATTTCTGTATTATGCTATATTGTGACGCGATGTATTGTTACACCCCTAGTTGACGACATAATTTTGGTCACGTATGGTACATTCTTAATCACAAATGTTGCAAAAAAAAATGTTTTAGCGTACACATACTACCAAGATATGTTAGAAATTCATGCACTCATTTTAAAGGTACAAAAAGTGATCCAATATGGAAGACATACACAAAAGTTAGTGAAGAAAAGCTTTAAATAGTCTGCAAAGTGGAGTGAGTTTGGATATAGAATACAGTAGGGTTCTGTTATCATACGGGACGTTGCTATCTCTCTGGTCTAGCTGACACACCGCTTCCTCTAAAGGGCTGCACCCCGGCCAGAAAATAGGTTGCAAATGAATTGGACCTGATCCTCTAGCAATTCCAGTCATTAGGGGGCCATCTGTGACTCGCAGTAGGCATCAGAGAGCCTGGCATGTCAGAGAGAAAGAGAGAGAATCTACAATACTACAGACGGCAACATCACACTAGCGGGAACATTTGGTGGCGAGAGTGAATGTTATCGCGGGACGTCCAGTATGAACAGAATGCATCAAATAGAGGGCAGTCATATCACTCATGTCACTTATTACAACTGTTCTGTACGAATGTTTGCACATTTACTTTTTAATGAATAGTGTTTCAAAGCTGTTTGTCGATGTAGCAATATACAGTATGTAACTCCTCTATGATGTAAATGTTAATGTTTTGAGCTTTTTACTAATTTATTATATATTTATGCTATTTATTATGTACTTGTGCTGGACAGTAATGGCTGATTGTGCAAAGCCTTCTTACTTTTAGTTACTGAAGAATCTTGATTCTTCTACACACAAAGCTTTGGCAATGTCTGAGGAGTCCACTTTTTAAATTGATCTTTTTTATCATATTAGCTTAAAAAATAAATCTCCTAGTAACACTTTATAATAAGGGTCAATTTGTCAACATTAAGTAATGCATTAGGTACAATAAACAACATGTTTTTATTAATCAGTGTTATTTTAATATTATTTACACACTATTATAGTTATAGTTTTTAAATATATTTTTAATTGGGTTTATTTTTATTTCAGTTTTAGCGGTTTTATTTTATTTCAATTTTATGTAAATTACCAAAAATGATTTTTAATAGTTTGTTAACAATGACAACTATTTTATTGATATATCTTCATTTTATTCATTTTTATAGAAAAATATTATTGTTCATTGTTACGTCATAATACTATAAATTAATCATGTATAAATAATGCTAAAAACTAATGTATAATGATGTTAATTTATAGAACCTGAAATTAAAATATAGTTAAATATATTTGTATATGTAGAAATTAACATTAACGTTGATTAATAAATGCTGTAAATGTATTTAGTTATACATTTTTAGTTTATGAAACCCTTTACATTAACTACAGTCATGTTAACAAATTGAACCTTATTGTAAAGTCTTACCGATCTCATTTTATGCCAGCTTACTTGTACTTGATGTAAACAGAGATGGTTTATAGAAGGCTGACAAGTTCAGCTCCTGCCTAAATGTCATCTATAACCCAACCCCGAACCTCTAGTCCTAAAGATTTGGTGGTAGAGGTTGATTCTAAACCAGCTAACCAACAGAATGTGCATATGTTAAAATTGGC